TGTGGTATGTTAACGCCACGCTTTTATCCAGTGAAGGAGAGCACCACTCCAGATTCTTCTCAGCCAAGAAAATATAAAACTCGTCATAGCGAAAATCCACCTGTTGAAATGCCTGTTGGTTGGGTTTTTGGCACCCGCTCTAGAACATCTTCTGTTAATACGTAAGTCTGTTTGATGTCATATTTGTGATTATATATTTCATATCTGACCGCAAAATTTTTTAATGAACAGTTGCAGCGACTCGGTCGAATCATCGAGTGGTCAGATGATGCCTGGTCCTTCAATGCACATCTCCTTTAGCTTATTGCAGGAGAATGGCTTCCAAGAACAAGTTAGTATTTTCTATGACGAATTTCGTTTGCATGTATTACTAGCAGTTCTAAATTAAGTTGAATTACTAGATGCCGCAAAAGGATCTCTAATTATCTGACGGTCTCATAATCTTCGACGCTAGTGTCGATAGCATATTTTCGGCTCATATAATCTTCTAGGGATATTTTTTTTTTTGACATTTTTTAACCTGAGCCAGCAAAGAGTTTAACTGGCGATTTCATGGAGAAGTCATCCTGAGCCGCCTGCTTCAGAAGATGCATTGAAATAAATAATCGAGCAGTTTTGATAAATCGATTGATTTGCCAAATCCATTTGAATTATATTTATCCGCCTACTCAAATGGTATGAAACATTGTTGTAAATGTACAGATATACACGAAATGGAGAATATCATGTCTACAGCAGAGGGAGCATTTGGGTTATGGTACAACTGAAATGAATACATATTTCCGTTTCTTGTCTTTCTTCTTGCGAGACCACTTCAATCGGAAAATGTATCAAGAATTTAAACATTTAGCTCTTGAAGATGCGGAAGCGGGTTACAGGCTTGTTTTTCTACTCGTGCAGTTCTTTATAAGATTTTGCTTTTTTAATTTTTTAAAGTGTCCAACTGAAAATTTTCTGCAGGTGGCGATGTTATTCTTTTTGCAGGTACGGGTTAGAGTGCCTCTTTAGATTCTACAATTTCGGTCTGGAGCGTAAGTTCAGACCAAATGTATACTTGGATTTCCAAGAAGAAACAATGAACGACGTTAAACGAGGTGAACTCTACGGGTTGGAGAAGTTTTGGGCTTTTCTAAAATTCTACAAGCACTCAAGACGCTTAGAAGTTCATCCATTTCTCAAGAAAAAGCTAGCAGAATACAAGAATTTGGATGACTTCAAATTTGATGTCAGTATTTCTTGATATTTCTTATTTTTTCCTATTTCTCAATTATTTTAGAACATATCAGGTTTACGGAAAAAGTCGATTTAGGGTGCTTGTTTTGTTGTTGGGGAATGTTTATTTAATTAAAATTAATGGTAGTCATTGATGGTTAATCACATGAAATATCCTATATAGTAACAATTTTTATATTTTCATATCAGAGATTTCCTTTACAAACTTATTTAGCCGGCCACGGCAGCCAAGAAAGAACTATCAGTGGACAATATAAATGCAGCTGTTTCTTCCAGACGATGAGCTGTCCTTGCAACATTTATTGTTATTTGCCATGAATTATGGCATTGTTATTGTAGTACTTCACATTTTAGTAGTATCCATTAGCAGCTGTTTAGGGAAAATATGCCCTACCAATTTATGCGGTAGGTCCACAGAAAATTGGGTTACGTAGTGCAGATAAGATTGGTCAGAAGAAAAACTCAATATTCTGCTTATCTATCATTTCATTCTCTTCTGTTCTTTTTCCATCCTTTTGATAGGTTTCTTGCATTTCTTCATTCTTAAGATTTGAACTGTTCTCTTCCTTTTTTTTTGTTTTTATTCCAGTGGGCAGTTTGCATCTGTGTTTATATATTAGTGTTCATTATAGTAAAAATGCAAAAAAAAAGAAATTGTTCGCCTTATCAGTTACTTTTTTCTCCTTTATTCTGAGGGTTTTTTCTTTTACTCTATATTTTTTCTCTAAACGGTGTATTACAACAGTTTACATAACGTCTTCGAAAGCTTTGGAAACTACGTTCGTGGCAGATTTCCATTAAGATTTGGATCACTGATCTTTTTTTCCTTTAATTAGATATTCGTGGGATTTTGTTAGGGATTTTGTTTTTCAAATTTGGTATAATGAAATCATTTGGGAGAAGCTGTTGTACTACGCTATCTCCATTGGAATATCGTTTTCATAACGGTTGAGCGATATATATATATATATATGGTTTAAACTATCCCAGTCATGTTTATCGAATATTATTCCAAACTGTGCTTTTATCTTTCAACTTTTTCATCTTACGTTTTGTGACCGTTTTTACAGGACACTTGCAGGTAACAGAAACAATCCTAGTATGTTTTGATCAAATATTAGATTTTGATCAATTTGCGTGAATTTCCGAGATATTGCATGCTTTCAAGTCCTAATAAAGGAATGGCAATCATGAAATTTCGAATTAATTTGAATTTAACTCATTATGAAATTTCAAATAGTGAGGATAGTGGGGGGATGGATTTTGGATTGTCTTCTTCAATAAAGTATGTGACAGGCGCATATGAATTCGGTTGCAAGTGGTACGCAAACGAAATGCTCATTCTCAGGCAATTTGGAAGCTGTGACATCGTGGTATTACTGATGTGTTTTGCGTTCAATGCTTTTTGCATGTATGTGTACATGCAGTGAAGATTTTTTTTCTAAACATGCTGTTGTTATTTCTCTTATTTTAGCTGAATTAAGTGTTTTTTTCAACATGTAAGGAATGAAATCTGATATTTATCGGCATCCGATTTTTCATTGTTACCGTAACAGTTTCCATCGTTTAATTTTTGTTTATTTGAATAGATAATATTGACGCTACGAATGTACTTTGTGGTAACATTGATCCGATTGTATGCTTCCTCATGACAGTTGGTATGAAATTTCAAATCAGCGTCATTATCAGTTTTATTTCTGTTTGGGCGATGGTGTAATCAAGCTAAAAAGTTGTTACAGTAACAGTGACGTGCGTGTTAATGGTTTAGTTAGCAATGTTTACAGTTTTTACGTGCTAACACAATAGTGAACCTTCACTGACACCATCCTGAGTAAGTTAGAACCGCAGTTTTATTATGTCAAAATTCTGTTATCTAGGGGATTGACCTCAAGATAACATTTTTCGTCCTTGTTGATCATTTTATATTATTATGAACGATTAATTTAGGGATATTCTTTGGAATTCGTGGAATTTGTCTGACTTATCTATACTCATGGTTTTCAAGTTTGCGTTGCTCTATCTACAGTTAGTCTTGCATCGTGCGTTTTGCAAGTTTCGCGGCTTATCTGTTTACTGCACTTATAGGTTATTTGAAATCAATAAATTGGTTTCTTTTTATTTTAATTTCGCGTAATTTAATTTTCGTTTTTGAAACATCTTCCTGATCATTGCTCATCCATACGCATCATTATTTATGTATACGCAGTCCGTTCGTCTGCGTTTGCTCGCTGTTCATTCGTTCAATTCTTTATTTTTACTTTCTCTGTTATGTTTTAAGTTCGAATCTAAAATTGCCTCTATCTATATTTTTGGTCATTGTTTTCATTGCTGTTTATAACCTTTTCTCTTCAATGATTTATTCCTTGTCGCTTTATCGTTTTCCCGAGAATGATTATTGTAATGCTTTTTCTGGTCGCTTTGCTTCATTTGCAATGTTTTAGAATGAATCTATTTGTCGTTCATTTACTCCTCTACACCTTTTTTTCCCATTAAAATCCAAAATTTGGTTACCTTTTATTGAACTATTCCCCTTTAATCAGTTCATATTTTTCTACTATTGTTATAACATGATGTGAATATCCCTTTTTGTCGCTCAGATCTGTAATCATTCATTCATTTACCGTTTCCAAGGCTCTCCCTCTTATAGATCCTGTTCCACTGTTCCGGTGTTAGAGGATAATGTCGTTTAGTTTTTTGATCAACAGCGACCATGTAATAGCAACAGCAGCAGTGATAAATAATTATTCCTTTCCAACCTGCTGTGATTCGTTGGAGATCAATCATTATTAGTACATTTATTAAATTTGGATAGGTTCAGGGACGCAGCATCCAGAATTTCATTTTTTGGAATGATTGCTTTTCATTTATTCTTATTATTAAAACCATAAATAAATATGGTGGCTGATTTACTGATCGCTGTCCTCTCTTCGTTCGTTTTTTTCTTGTTTATTTTTGCGAAATAAAATTTCTTACGATCAAAATACTTCATTCGCGCAGCTGTGGGGAACATTCCCTAATGCGTACAGAAATAATATGCATTTATAAAAATTCAAATAAGACATTTTGATGTTTGCAGTTGAAGTGATTCATTCGCTTTTACGAGATGTTTGAATTGTGATTATTTTAATGGGCATGGATAGGAAGGGGAAAATATGAAGTTTATATTGGTAGGACAGTTATAAGTTTGACCACCAAATTTGAAGAGTGATGAGAAGGGGGAACTCTTTAGAGCATTCGGATTTCATTAGTAAACAGAACTGGAGTCTGATGGTCAGGAATCTGGTGACGTGGACGAAAAGTGGAGCGGCGAAAGTCTTTTCGTCTTGTCAAACTATTGGTTTTGCAGTTGGGCTAGAGTAAGATCGCTGTTTAGAGTTGACTTAAGATGATGTGAAGACTAAACTTCGAGTCAGCTAGGTTAATTACTGGAGGAATCTTTGGAATTAAAATAAATTGAAAGGCTGAGTTTCAGATAAAAAGGTATCTGACAGTATTTTTTAAAAATTCCATTCTCTTGCGGTGGTTCATGTCTTATTTACATTTTCTTTCTTCCTATTAACGAATATTTTCACTTTATTTCAGAAGTTTTTCATAGAACGGTGAGGATTATCCCAAACAAGGAGGATGAGAAATGAGGTCAATTTGGTTAACTCTTTCTGAGACGTAAAGTTAGGGCTTCTGTAGTTTAGACTGGATTCAGTGACACATCATCGCTTATTTCAGTTATCTTCGCTTTACAGAAATTCATATAATTTGCTAGAGTCAATATGGCCGCTTCTTCATTGTCTGTCGAACAACTCAAACGGATTGAACGTAATCGAGCAGAAGCTATGCGACGAATGGCTTTACGTCAGCAACGAGAAAAGGAACTGGGAAATATAAGTATAATGGATAACAGTTATTCCATCACTGACATCTCAGCCACATCCATAAATGAACAAATGATGTTACTATCGGAGCTCGGGTCTTTCAATTCATCCAACAAAGCGTCTGCTATACTTCAGAAGCCTATGCAGCAGCTTATAACAAAAAGTCATGGTGGATCCAAATTTCCTCTGGCTACATCCCATCAGTTAGCATCAGCTTCAAAGTATGTCATAACATATCGTGATGAGCAACAACCATCCACATCTGCTTTATCCATTCCATCAAAAGTTGAAGTGGATCGCAAACTGTTACCTGTGGTATCACCTGTTAAACGACCGCCCGTTGCCGCAACTATTCATCTTAAGCAGAGTGTTGTTAACATTATCTTCAAACTTATCGATTCCAAATCTTTTCAAGTTAGTTACATTCGCAGTTCGCAACGCTTTTTTTCAACGAATACAATTATTGGTAGACAGTGAAATATTATATGGTTTTGATAGCAGCACTCAAAAATACCAGAAATTTCATCTAGCATTTAAGGCACACGTTAAAGAAATTGAGAAGTAAAAGAGCAAAATAAGTTTAGAAGACAAAAATATGGCGAAGAAAAAGGGATAAGATTTTTTTGCTTCAAGTTTTATACATTGAAAAATTCCATTTAATCCCATAAAAATTTATAAGCTGCTATGCAAGTTAAAGTATATTTTCTAGCTTTACCATCGTCGATCTTTAGCTATTGTTTTATATCGTTTTCGTTATAAATTTGAATTCAAATGTCTAAAGGAATTTTTCTACCTGACACAAATCTTTACGCTGAATTGTTTGCATTTTCCAAGTTAAATTATCAAACCTGTTTCATTTCAATATCTGCTTATAGATTTAAGAAAAATCTTTTTTATTTCAGGTACAGTTCACTCCTTTCAGTCATTCAGTTATCTCTGTTCTGAAGGCAATCCCATCTAAAATTTATGTTCCCGAAACAAAAGCTTGGTCATTTCCTCTGGAAGACATTTATACAGTTGAGAAAGCCTTGCAATCATTAGATGATGTCTCAGTAGAAATCGAAAGAATTTCGGATCATGCTGTTAAGGCAACTTTTTTACTCCCTTATTATTTGTTTCTTCTTTTTACTACGAAGAATTTATTTGTTTTTACATTTTTATTCCTTCCAGATACTATTAACTTATGGTAAATCAAATGTTAGTATGAACGAGCCTAATCTTGAAAAGCATATTGAAAAGACATTGGTTGATGCGCTTTTTCCATATCAACGTCGAGGTATAATGTATGTTGTACTGTATGTTATTTGTCTGCTTCAAATTTGTGTGCTTATCTCGAAATAAAGAAATTTGAATTTAAAAGATAAAATTCCAGATATGGTGTAATGAAAAGAGGCCGATTGCTTTTGGCCGATGAAATGGGACTTGGAAAATCGATTCAGGCTCTTGGTATCGCCCGATATTTTAAATGTGATTGGCCTCTGCTTATTGTATGTCCATCATCTGTAAAATTCTCCTGGTTGAATGTATGTCTGTCATTCTATTGAAATATGCCCTAAGAAAAGAAAATCGAAACTTATATTTGTTTTCAAAATTCAAATTGGAAATCATTTAAAATCATTCTATTAAAATATTTCGAAATTCACACATAGATATCAATTAGTTTAATCGTTTTTGACTCATGGAATTGATTTTTTATTAAATTTGCAGCAGCTTGAAAGTTTTTTACCGAATGTTGATGAAATCGTCATCATTGAAAAAGGAAGCGACCACTTACCATTAAAGAAAACCAAGCAAACGGTGGTTATCATCAGTTATGACCTGATGGTTTCTAAACAGTTTCATCTTGTTGAATACGATTTTAAAGCAATCATTTTTGTAAGTTGTAAAATTTTGGAAATTTTAACCAGAAAACCGTATGAACTTTTTTCGCTGTTAATATACGATCTAATTTCAAGGATGAATCACATCTACTAAAAGACAGTAATGCTCAGAGAACCAAAACTGCAACGCATATTTCAGTAAGTTTTTTAAGAATCTAAAGATGTAAGCCTGAATTAATTTTTCTTCAGCAATTTAAAATGAAATATTGGGTTACAGAATTCTTTTATATTCGATCCTTCTCAATTTCTGTTCACTTTTCAGCATTTTTTTAATAACGAAATTTCTATTATCTTTTTTATCAGCTTTTCCACCGTTCATGAAATCATTGTAGAAAAAAGCATTACGAGTTATTTTACTGACTGGAACGCCGGCTCTTTCACGGCCAGTGGAATTATTCAGCCAGATTCGTATTATCGATTCTAAAATGTTCCCAAACTACCGTGATTTTGCAACTCGATACTGTAATGGGAAACAAGGGAAATACAGTTTTGAAGCCAAAGGCTGTACAAATAGTGATGAATTAGCAATAATTCTAACGGGTAGTATCATGTTGAGGTAAGATTTCCACTACCTCATTTTCTATCAAGTTAAAAATTTGTTTTAAATGATAATTTCAATGGAGATATTCTTTCAGGAGGTTAAAAAAAGATGTCCTGAATGATCTTCCAGTAAAAAGACGAGAGGTTGTTAACCTAACGGATGATTCCATTTACACAAATATTAGCAAACTGCGAGAAGCAAAGGCTGCTTATAGTGGCGCCAAGGTTTTCCGTGACAGTTTTCATTAATTAATGAGGAGTTTCAATTTCATTAATCTGGTGGTGTTTGAACTGACTGATGCGATGGTTAAATTTTAAGAACTGTTGGAAAAATGACTGCTAGTTTCTAGGATAATGATACAAAACATCAACGATTGGTTGAGTATTACTACGAGACAGGAATTGCTAAAGCAAGAAGTGTTGCTCGGTATATTATTGATCATTATTTTTACAATGGCGCACCAAAAAGGAAATTGTTGATATTTGCTCATCATCAAATCGTCTTGGATATAATATCAATGGACATCGCAAAAAAGGTGATCAGCAGATAAGTTTGTTGACATAACTGCAATATGTCGAAAAGGAATTATTTTTCTTGCTTATTAAATTAGGGAAGAGGAGGAGGGAGAAATTTTGGATTTGCACAATTTTTTTTCGAAATAGGTAGTTTTTAGAATTGAATTATGTGTGATATATGTTATAGGGGCTGCGATCGATACGAATCGATGGTGCGACAGTTAGCCGGTCACGTGATGAACAATGTCGATTATTTCAGGAAAATAATGATGTTATGGTTGCAGTTTTATCAATAACTGCTGCGGGTATTGGTGTTACTTTAACAGCCGCGTCGATTGTTATATTTGCTGAATTACATTGGAATCCGGGTGTTAGTCCTGCTGTCAACATTGATTTTTATGCGAAATTGAAATTACTCGAATTTCTTAATTTCCGAGAGATTTTTTCAAATTACTTTTGTGAATGTGCTCAGGATTTTCCTTGTTTTATTAAGAATTACGGTTAAAATTTGACAAGAATCAGTTTGTTATTTCATGGTGAAATAATGTTGCAGAGATTATTTTAGGCGGGTCTTTAGTAAATATGAAATACATTATCGAAATATAAGCCAAAGTTCTCGTCCTAATAACAGTCGTATTTTTGGTGTGAAAGCTAATTCTTTCATATTTACTTATTTCAATTTCCCATTCGCAGGATTAAAATAAGTTTTGTTAAGTGGCTGACATCAAACAAAAGAATGAACGTTATTGGCAGTGCTTATTTGTTTCAAAATAATTTGTTGATGCCGTAGTTATTGGCACTTCTTGTATGGAAGTAATTTATTATGTTGCTGAAGAATATCCATAGAAGTAGATTCATCTTTTGACCTGTTTCTAATACTTTGATGATCTATGTTGTGTATGTTATGGATTAGAGCTGGCATTGATGGGCAGTTAAAGGAGGACTGGTTTAGAGTAATTTAGCAAAGACCGAAGAATTATATTGAAAGTTGGATGATCATGCTCTTAAAACTATACTAGATATTTTTTGCATTTTAATGATATTCTTAGCTAACTTCTATTTCCTTATTAAAATAACGTTTTCTTCTGCAGACTTTAAAGCAAGCCGAAGATCGAGCTCATAGGCTTGGCCAGAAAGATTCAGTTTTTGTGCAATATTTAATTGCTAAAGGCACAGCAGATGATATATTATGGCCGTTAATCCAGAAGAAACTTGATGTTTTGCATTCGTGCCAATTATCCTCCGATACTTATCGAGTATGTTATTAGAAATATTTTTACATAAGGATTCTTGTGTCGTGAAATATATCATTTTTTATTGGATTTTTTTTCAATTTCAAATAGATATGGCGTCATTCAAGCATAATTGTACAAGTGCAAGTTTTTACTGAGACGGAGACATTTGATATTGAAGCATTTTAGATTTTATTGAAGTATTTTGCAAAATATTTTTCATATGTTCCTTATCATGTTGTTAATATTGCTACAATTGGAAATAATCACCGTGGAATTGATATAGTAATTATTTAGGGCACTAATAGCGTTGAAACAACGATGGGCTCTGAAAGTGGTGGCTTGGAGAATCATTTTCCAAGGATTAAACGAATTAGATCCACTATAGGATGATTTTTTTCTCCACTTTATCTTGTTTGTTTTATATATTCCGAACTAACGCAATATGTTTTGAAAAAAAACATTAAATAGATTCTTTCTCCTGTCTGATCTCTTGCAACTGGATTACATCATTATATTCATCCATTTGTATCTCTGGAAGTCTTGAAATGTATAAACGAAGTTCTGTTGCATAGTTCTAGAAATACTTACAAAATTTGGAATATATTTTTATGGTTTACATGACATACCAATTTTCTTATCGATTTGTGTGGCTTATTTTTATTTTATTTCATTTTACTTTTTTATTAAGTAAATATTGATAAATCATTTGTCATTTTGAGTAAATGAGGATTTCTTCGAGAAAGGAATTTTGTGTAGTGTATGTTGAAGGAGATAAATTAGCTGCTTGTCACTCTTCCTTTATCGTTTTTTATATTTAGATATGATAAAAATAGAACTATACATCCAGTTTTAGATTTAATCTATCTAGCAGTTTAGACTGACAAAAAACTTGATTTAGTCATAATGGGAAATGAATCTAAGAGATTCAATAAGGCAGAATGATGGGAAAAATAGTAATAAGAATAGCATATGTGATGTCCATAATACAATAACACTTTTGAGATGATATGATTGAACGTATTTCGGTTACAGTTTTTTTTGATGCAGAAATATCTCGGATTGGCAGTGCGAAATTTTTAATACATATTGCTACAGTATGTTTTAGAAAATTTCGTTGTGACGTACGCTTAACTTAATTGACTTGTCATATTGTGGATTAAGTCATTTAAATGTCATTGACTTTTTATTTCGAAAGAGGTTGATTTTATTCTTGATAAAAGCACATAGGAATCAAAATGTAATGTGATTTGCAAAGTCTCCTCATGAGCAGTATTTATTGTTCGCAGATAGACGTGGCTTTTTCTAACGGGTGGAGTTTAATTTAAATATTTAAAATTCGATTTCAATATTTCTCCTTTTGAAATCATCGACATGTTCTTATCAACTATTTGATATAGTGTGAGATTTTATCGAATGTTTTGTGTCCATTCGTCTTTTTTCGTACTAACCTAAAATTTTTTTTTGAAATTTAAAATTGAAAATGAAAAAGAAATTGCAGCATGAGCAGTTACGATAAAATATGTTAGAAAAATAGTGCAAATGATTAGTCCTTTACTAGAGCTAGTATATTCGAAGAGATATCAACAATATTGATTAGAACTGTATTTGATGATCGAATTACGAATTTAATAACTTAGCAACTTACATAATCTCAAGTAGTTGTCATATGTAGTAGATGATTTCGAATTGGTTTTTCTACATAAAAATAAATTTTGATGATTTCAGAATTATTCAAATATTAATGTTCATAAACGTATTTCGAGCAAGTTTTTTAGCCATAGTTGAAAATTTTCAGCAATTGAAAAATGAATAATTGATTTAGTGACCATAGCAATTTTTTGATGACTTCTTTTTCAATTGATTAATTGAAGTTGAAATTAGGGATAACACCAAATGATAAAATTGTTAAGAAAAATTAAAATTCTATCATAGTGGAATGGAAATTATTCAAAAAATTGATGATGTGTATATCTCCTGTTTTTCCAGTTTATCTTTACCGACAACTCGATCCTAACACATTTTACAAACGGTTAGCATTTCAGTGCAAAATTCTAACTTAGAAATTTTAATTTTTTATCTCAGTTTCAAATAATAACTAAATATCGAGGAAATATATGCTCTCGAATGTTGGTTGAGAGAACATACTTTCATACTGATCCCAATCCTCCGTGATTTCCGCTATTACTTTTCCGTCCCTCTTCTAATATCTTTACTTGTTGCAAATCAAAAAAAATCATAACCCTAATCTTTTCAACAGTAAGAGTGGTATCATTGGTGATAATACATTTGACATTTAACTGTTGTTTTACCTGTCTTGCACCTATCGGATTAGCGACTGAATGATTTTTAGCAAACAAAAAAAGGAGAGTGCAGAAATGTGATTGAACAGCTGATTGATAGAACTTATATAAGGGAGGGATAGCTGAGTTGTGCTACTGCGCCATCACTCATCCACTCAGAATTAACATAAGCACTGATAGCTATCATTGCTATCTGTCATTCTGTAAACAACTGTTTTTAATGGTTTTACAGAAACAATACCTATGGTACTCAAAGATGATACACGATTATTTATGAGTTAGCCCGTGTGCTATTTATTCCTAGTTTATCTTCCACTGTTAGCCGATTTCATTTATCATATCACAATACAACTTCCATTTGACAGTTGATAAGATTGGTAGTCACACAATTGTAACAACGCCCACTCATTTCTATGAATTGCTTTCGGGGTCACTGAAATTCTAATAGTGACTGAACAACAATTAGTTAGCTCTTTTTCAAAATAATGAAAATTTTCTGGCGATATTCGCTTGATCATTGGCCTCTATTTCTTTAAAATAGTCACATGCAAAACAGAGAGGGCTTTTCAACCATTTATCCAATACAAATGAACAGATAGCAATTCCGCGCACCTAATGATAACAGCTGGATTATACATCGAAAATCATTCTTCAAAGGTACGATAACAAATTTTCAATTTCTTCCTCCTAATATATGGAATTCGAAGCCGAAATAATCACCCAATATTTAATTAGTTTAGTGATTAAATCCGCCTAGCTATAATCAGTTAGCAGAAAATGAGCGATTTTTCTTAAACTTATGAAAAATATCTTCTCCAATATTTACGTCTAATGTCCATTTGAGGGCCAATATCATCACCAATTCTGTAATTCTTTTTTTTTAATTTTACACTTTTTTCATTCATAATTCATTGTAGTTTGTCCTTTTTATGCAAAATGTTGAATGAATTGGATGATTTAAGCTGTGAAAAAATGGCTAATTTTATGAAATACTGCCCAACAATAATAATTTTCTAAGAGTATACTAAAAAAACCATGAAATTGAATGAGAACAAAAAAAAGGTACATTCGATGAGAGCAATTTTACTGTCTCTCATGAAATTATTCGATTTCACTGGACTGAAACGACTCAATTAAATTTTATTCCTTTTAATCAACTTCATGCTTTTCATATTAACTCTAAAATATTTTCCAATTCATTTCTCTTTTGCTTATGTCTTAAAAAACAGAAGAAATGCTCATTTAACCGTTTTTGTTTTCTTCTTTTTCTTCATCTTGACAAACTTGAGAAATTTTATTTTTTCCTACTCATTCTCTATCTTTCATTTGTTTATAAGAGATGATGAAAGCACAAGAAAAATGCAGACAGCAGAGAAAGAAAAAAGAGTTACAAAGCAAAAAAGGCGACATTTTTATATTTTTGTTATTTTTCAATGTTAACTAAAGCTAAACAAAAATAAATTTTATTTCGAAATGGCCTCCAAAGATTGAATGAAAAATATTCAAAACATCACTTCGCTGCAATCCTTACTAAACGTATGGAAAAGCTTTCGGTTAAGTCAAATTCAAAATATCTAAACAAACGGAATTTTATCAATTTTTTGTGATCTGTTTTTATTGCAATAAGTTTAACCTTCTATCACTTGTCAGTATTTTAAGAGTTACTTGATTTGATACTATTTAATACAATTAACAATGTATTTCTATCATTCATTTGCCATTTAACTAATTTGTTACAAATTTAGCTATATTACCTAAAACATTATTACACATGAAAGTATTGTTTATTTGCTAGACTCTTTTGACTTAATGACGTTATATCCATTTACGTTCTATTTGATTTTCAGACTTCTATTTGAAAATTATAATTTAAATTTTTATGTTACTCACTAATGTTGAAATGTGATATATATCTGTAAAAATGCATTTCATTTGGCAGGCAAATAACAACGGTTTTTATTTAATTGAAAGTACGGATGAAAAACGATTGTATCAATTAAGCCAAACATTTTAAACAAAAATTTTTAATCCTCTTAAAGTGACTTAAAACACAAAAATGTTCGTATAGATCTTTCTACAAGCCATTTTCAATTGGCTAGTGATTTGCCAAATGTAACTTATCATCTTTAAAAAGAAATGATCCAAAGCTGGAATGATATAACGAGTCTAACTGATATAAATTGATAAAACTTACCTGACTTCGTTAATAGCTTTAGATAACTTGAAATAAAACTAACAAAACTAAATTGATATTGTTTACCTGGAACAAAAATAAAAAAACCGCTTTAAAATTAAAAATAGAAGTAAACATTGTTATTTATTTTAAATAATAATTATAATTGGTAAGAAAATAACACTCCCGCAGGAACGATTAACAGGTCCGTGTGAATTGATAACTCAAAAAAAAATGTCAAAAAATTCGATAACGCAAAGCTATATACCGTATGCTGTAACTTAAAAATAAATAATGCATGAAATAGAAAGCTTTTTAATGAAATTGATTTTTTTGCAATAAATTTGCTTTAGCATCGATGAAAATGCTTTTCTGACAATTTAAGTTGGCACATATGTAAGACATAAAATTGTAGTTGTGTCAGTAAGAGCTACCCATTCTAAACAAATTTCTACAGAAATCATTTCCACAGGTTTCGTATGGTAATCTGTTTTGAAATGTGAACTTTTATCAATCAACTATTACTTCTTTTTACAATCGAATTAATAATTAATTAATAAAAATCAAATAACAAGCAAACAAAGCCGTATAGCAAGTTAGATGAAATAGTCCTCAGGCTACTATTTTACTTAATTTCACCAACCTCTTGCTGTCTTTATGTTTTATAATCAAAATTACAATCTCATCTCTTCTCTTCCACCTCAGTTCTTACTAATTAAACCCCTACAACAAGTTCTTTTTCTTCTTCTTTTGTTTGCCTTTTTCTTTTTCTTTTTCTAAAATTATTTCGTAGTATAGAGCTTGAAATAAGTGCATTAGCCAATAGATCTATCGTCATTCGAAATTATCTATACTATCACCGTGTAAGTGATCTCTTATCAAACATCTCTTTTGCTTTTTTGTCTACGTCTGTCCCA